GAAAAAGAGAAAAAAAAAAAATTGGTGGAGGACAGGGCAGGGTATCCAGGCTCTGTCTGAGCACACAGACTGTGATGGAGTTCCTGTGGGCCCAGAAGGTAGGTGGGAGTGGGGGATGGCCACACCTCTGTTCACCAAGCGGGTGTGGGGTATAAGAGTAACAAGAGGAATGTCCTACTTTGTCAGTCTTGCAGGTCCCGAGTGTCCTTGGGGTTGCTAGAAAACAGAACGTGTTCTCAAGCCCCAGGAATCTGCGAGAGCGCTGTCTCTTTAAATATCCAAAACAGTCAAGCTGCTTTTTAAACCTTCAAAATGGCAGCGTCCTCCAGACCGGCGAAAGTCCACAGCTCAGCCCACCTTTCTCTTCACCTTCTCCGTTTGTTCCCCAGCGACTGTGTACAGTCCTCCGTGCAGTCCCTGGCTAGCAGGGTGATCTTTAGGTTAATTCTTAGGTCCTACCACCACTCGGGAATCTCCAAGCTGTCTGTGCCATCAGGATCGCTCAGAATCACTGCCAGACCACAGCTCCATCTGTCTCCTTTTTTGGTATTTTCACGCAAATTCTTCTGCTAGTTGGGGTTTAGTCCACTTCTATATCCTTCCCTTCAAGGCTCAGGGGTCCAGGATTATATTCTGTGTCTGTGTTAATTGGTTTCCCTTTTCTTTGTTGAAGAGGGTCTGTGCAGTCTTTCTGCCTAGTCCACCATCTTTGGTTAATCCCCCTTTTTTTCCGACTCTTTTTGGTTTGTAGTTGTCCTCATTTGTCGTTCGTGTCTCTGGTTCCCTGTTTGCAATCTTGTAGGCTTATTTACTTTGGATACTTCCATAGCTGGTTTGGTTTCTGGGTTATATCATCATGTGTGTTAATGGTCAGTAATGTTGTTGGCTGTTGTTGCTTTTCTGTCCAAAGGGCTCCCCTTAGCATCTCTTATAAGATTAGTTTGGTTTTAACAAATTCCCTTAATTTCTGCTTATCTGGAAATGTCCTTATTTCACCATCATATCAGAGCGCCAGTTTTGCTGGGTATGTAATTCTTGGTTGGACATTTTTTTTTCTTTCAGGGTTTTATATATACCATCCCATTGCCTTCTCACCTGCATGGTTTCTGCCGAGAAATCCAAGCTTAGTCTTACTGGTTGCCCCTTGTAGGTCACTTTGTTTTTCCTGTGCTGCTTTCGAGATTCTTTCTTTGTCTTTGGTTTTGGTGAGTTTGATGATGATACATCTTGGTGATTTTCTTTTGAGATCTATTCCTGTCTAGGGTTTGTTGGACTTCTTGAATGGATATATTCTCGTCTTTCGTCGTATTAGGGAAAGTCTCTTGTAACAAATCTTTGGCAATTTTCTTTGTAGTTTTAATTGTTTCTTCCTGTCTCGGAATTCCAATTACACAGAGATCATTCCTTTTAATGGTATCCCACATTAACTGTAGGCTTTCTTTAGTTTGTTTTGATCTTTTTTCTGATTGATCCCTTTCCAAAAGAGTATGAGGTATTTGTGTTCAGTCTCACTAATTCTTTCTTCCATTGATTTACTTCTACTTCTTTAATGATTCAATGTCTTATCTATTTCTGAAAATTTATCATTAATCATCTGCATTTCTATCTGTAGATTTTGTATCATTTCTCATTTTTCATTTTGTTCTTATATTGTCTTCTGAAATTGTTCTCGGGCTTTCTTTTTGTTTTCCTCAATGTTTTTAGTGTTTTCCTTGATCTGTCTTTCAGTCCGTTGAAGGTATCTTGATATATTTCTTTTGAATTCTTTATCAGGGAGTTCCAATGGTGCTTCTTCCTCAAGGATGTGCTCTGGGTATATGTCCTGGACCCTTTTTTCTCCTGCTTTATCTTGCTGCTTTGTGTGGATTGTGATGGTCCGTTGTTTCCGAGACACTTGATGTTTTTGTGTTTATGTTTAATTGATGATCTGTGTTGGAGTGATTTGCCCAAGATTTTTGTTTTCTTTGGATGTATCTTGAGTCAATGGGGTGCGGTGCTCCTCTGTTCACTAGTTGGCAGCACTTATGCACTCATCACCTGTCTGTCTCCTTTCTACTTGTTAGCCACCTGCATGTCTGTGCTGTCCTTAGCAAGTAGAGCTTATTCTTAGGTGCCTTGAATCTGAATGAGAATGCTGTCTCTTTAAATAACCAAAATGCCTGCTGCTTGTAAACATTCAAAATGGCTGCACCCTCCAGAACGCCAAAAGTCCACAGCTCAGTTTGTCTCCTTCTTTGCTATTTCCCTTTTTAGTCATTAACCACTAGCACAGTCATCCATGCAGCCCTTGGCTAGTAGGGCCTATTTTTAGGTTAATTCTCAGGTCCTACACCACTTGGAAATAGTCTGTCCGTGCCATCAGGATAGCTGACAGTCTGTAGGTATTTGTCTCCATACTCACTGTTTTCATTCGGGTTCCTCAACTAGTTGGTGTTTAATCCACTTCTGTATCCTTCCTTTCAAAGCTCAGGGCTCCAGGATTATCTCCTGTATCTGTGTCAATTGGTTTCTCTTTTCTTTGTTGATGAGGGTCTGTGTAGCTTGTCTGCCTATTCCCACATCTTATCAGAAGTCACTGAAGTCTGGCCATTCTTGCTTCTAAAGAGATTCCAGCTGTACTTCTTCCAGGATAGATGTGTTTATTCTTCTGGCAGTCCATAGTATTTTCAGTATTCTTCATCAACACCACAGTTCAGAGGCATCAGTTCTTTTTCAGTCTTCCTTATTCATTGTCCAGCCTTCACATGCATATGAGGCAATTGAAAATACCATGACTTAAGTTAAGTGCACCTTAGTCTTCAAAGTGGTATCTTTGCTTTTCAGCACTTTAAAGAAGTCTTTTGCAGCAGATTTGCCCATTGCAGTGTGACATCTGATTTCTTGACTACTCCTTCCATGAATGTTGGTTATGGATCCAAGTAAAATGAAATGTGATAACTTCAAGCTATACCACCCTATAGATATGGGGTGGATGTGTGTGTGTGTATGTGTGTGTGTGTTTGAGATTCGGTTGAAAGTTTACAGAGCAAATTTGTTTTCCATTCAGCAGTTTATACACATTTCCTTTTGTGGCATTGGTCGCAGTCCCCACAATATAACAGCACTCTTCTCACTTCTTCTCTGTGTTTACCAATTCCCTTTGGCCTTCTTTCCTATCCCTTCCTACCTTCTGAGCTTTATCTCTGGGCATCTGCTGCTGCCCTTTTAAATGTCATACAGTTGATTGTTCTAATGAGTGCATACCTCCCTGCAGTTAGTTTTCCCGCTATAGTCCCGCTATAGTATTTGGCTCAAATTTGAGCTATGGGAGTAAGTTCAGTTCCAAGCTTGAAAGGTATTTAAAGGTCATATCCTCAGGGGTTCCACCAGTCTCTATCAGACCAGTAAGCCTGGTCTTTTATATGCTTTTGAGTTTTGTTCCATATTTTTCTCCCACTCAAACAGGGAACTCCTATTGTGATCCCTTTCAGAGCTGTAAATGAAATTTTAAACTGAGATTGAATGATACCACCAAAGGAGGGAATGTAGCTGGAGAAGAGGCTTGCCCCCTGCCACTAACCACCCATTTCTTTAGTTCTCAACTAAAATATTTGTCAAGGACTGATATTCCTTGATTTGGAGTAAAATATATCCCTCTCTTAGATGTTCCCAAACCTGACCTTGGACATCTAAGTTTTTAGAGCCCACAGGATCAGCCACATGATAGGCACTCAGTAAGAAATGAATCAATAAGTGATAAAACTTTGTAGAAATCACCTAGGTTCAAAATGTAATTTAGCAGTCTCCCAAAACACCACCACCAAAAAAAAAAACCTAACCAAAATCACTCCCATTGAGTCATTGCCAGCTCAGAGTGACCCCCATTGGGTTTCTGAGGCGGTATATCTTTACACAAGAAGATTACCCTACCTTCCTTCTGCAGATCAGCTGGTAGGTTTGAACTACCAACTTTCTGGTTACCGGTCAAATGCCTTAGATACTACACCACCCAAGCTCTTGATGTGCAGACCATGCAGTACTTATTCTTTTTGATGCTTCAAGCATCCTGTTTTCCCTCAGGGAAAATGTGTGAGAAAGAGCAAGCAACCGCTGTCCCAAACCTAGTAGAACTGGAGAGATCTAATGTTTACATTCCCGCTCCCCTGCTATTCTGAAGAAGGAGTATTGTGCTTCACACTCCTCAATGCAGTGGCTTCCCCTAACCCTGAAAACCCTTACTACTGACAGAAGGTGGTGTATCCTCAGTGCCATGAAGATAATCTTTCTCACAAGGCCTAGGGTTTCATGCAACCATGTCTTAGAGTTGCAGTACCTTAAGGGAGTAGTTCTCAGATCAGCAGCATGGCATCACTGAACTACTAGTTAGAAATGTATATTCTCAGGGCCCAGCAACCTTTGTTTTAACAAGCCTTCAGAGTAAGTCAGAAATATGCCTAATTTTGAGAATGTTGCCTCAGAGAGAATTCTCCTTTGGTCTGAGGAATCTTGCTCAACGTAGAGGGTTTACCCAGTGTCTTGAATGCCTTTATTCATTCCAGTTCCTGAGTTTAGAGTTTATTCATCCTTTCAGGGTGCCAGCTCTTTACCTTGTCTCATTCAGAGAGCTTTTCGAAGACAGTGTTCTTTATGTATCCATGTGAGATGAAAAATTCCTTTTTTTAACTTCTTCTGGCTCTAGCTGTTATTTTTTAAAATTAAATAACCTAAAATGAATGCTTACTATGTAAATATGTTTTAAAGTTTTGTTATACTTACCTCTTAGTATGTCATATACTTGAATGCTCATTGTCCTTTTGGTTTTAAGTATTTGTTGGCTATCTGTTTTAATATTCTAATATTAGAGAATAAGGAATTATATATTATTAACAAAGAACAAATGAATTAGTGAATATTTATTGATTCCCTACCATGTGTATTCACATATTATCGGTATGTGAGGAATGTTAACCTTTTTAGTTGCTTTCACTGAGAATGAATTTGGGATTATTTCTTTATTCTAGATTCCTTTAAGATGCACCAAGATGATGGCCTGGCAGATTTTCTCTTTCTTCCCAGTGGAACAAGCAGTGCTTCAACACTTACAGGGCAAAATGATCCTTTGAAAGACATTTATGGTATGGTTCTCTAACTAGATTTATTCCTTAACTCGAGGTGATCAGTGTGGCCCTTCATCTGTCATCTTTGGAGATAACCACTGTGCAAAATCATGTGGATAGGGGTTTGGCTGTGACTCTCTCTAGTCAAAGAAGAGAATGTTTAGTTGGGCAGCTCAGGGATTACTCACTTCTTCCTCAAAGGAGTTAGAGTCCTATAATCTAGGGCCAAATTTTATCTTCACATTTTACTAGCTCATGGCCTGGGGCAAATGATTAACCTTCCTAAACTTTGGTTTCTTTGTTTATAAAATGAAGTCAACACTAGTTCCTACCTTAAATACTGTGGTGATGATTATATAGCAGTATGTAAAAGCACTTAGCATAGTGTTGAGACTATGTCCACATTAAACAGATCGTAGTTATCAATACTAGTGTCCTCACTGCTGACTTTATGTTAACTTTTAACATGAGTATGGTCAGGACTCATCATCAAGTCTCACTTCAAACAATGCTTATAATTTATATTATATAATTTTTATGATTATTTAATTATAATCATGAGACCCTGACTAATGATGTTTCATTTATACTTTTCTTTGAACTGAAGATCTTTTGGAAAAAAATATATTAAATTAATTCTTTGTTGCTATCCATCTAGTCTCCTGATAACATTGATTTTAACTTTGACTCCTCTTCTATAAGCTCATTAGCAGGGACCATGTCTTTTTAAATCCCCTATTCTGCCTGGCATAGGACATCATAATGATAATCCTTTTTTACTTACCAAGTTCTTAATGTATAAAGCATTTTCATAAAATTGTTTTCTAATGTTAGAAAGGGAAATGTTAATGCCTTTTAAAGATGACAAAATTAAAGTTCATAATTCCTTGCTACACTATATTGTGTAGATTGTGATGTTGGAGCTGGAGGTTAATCTTTGGTGTTGTAAATCTTTGTAATACAGTATAGGAGGCAGCCGGTAAATGTTCCAATCAGTGTTGATTATTAGATATTATAACCTCCTATTAACAATTAACTAAAACCTGAACAATTTGTTTTTCTTTTAAAACTTTCTTGCTTTGACAAAACTCAAAATCGTTTGGAGGAAAAAAAAAAAAAAGGGGGACCAGGTTTGCTGGTCCGATAGAGCCTGGTGGAACCACTGAGACTATGGCCCCTAGCTGTCCTTCAGGTCTGGAATTGAACCCACACCTGTGGTTTCCAGCCAAACAAAAGACAGGCATATGAGTTGAACATTTACCTCAAGTAGATACACTCCTTGGAGAGAACAATCATGGGAGAAAGAAGGTCTGCTTATGCACACGGAGACAGCTCGGGGGCAGGAGGGCATGGAGGGATGGACACTGGGAAGAGGTAACTGTGGAGAGGAAGTGGGAGGGGAGCTGTTGCCTTGTGATAAACTGTGGTCAATGACATGAGACAAAGTATATGTGAACTGCTGTATGGAAAGTGAATTTGCTCTGTAAATCTTCACCCAAATCACAATTAAAAAAAAAAAAAAACTTTCTTGCTTTGTTTTTCATTGGTTCTTAATGTCTTTATGGCATTATATACCAAACCAAACCAAACTCACTGTTGTCAAGCCAGATCTGACTCATAGCGACCCCTCCTTAGGTTTCTGAGGCAGTATCACCGTGGAAGTAGATTGCCCAATCTTCCTTCCAAGGAGTGGGTTGGTGGGTTTGAACCACCAGCCTTCTGGTTAGCAGTCAAATGCCTTAGGCATTATGCTACCAGAGCTCCCAGCATTATATACACCTGATTCTAAATATCAAACGCTTTTTCTCCTTAGTGTTGCCTACGTTTCAAAAAATGTATTTCTTTGTGTTTCAATCGTAGGTATGCCACGCTGTGACGCATTTTCTTCAGCACCTAGTGATGTACATCAGGAGTGGCCAGTGGAAGCCCCAAACTCTCCACACTTGGCATCTTTCATTTCCCCAGAGTCTATTAAGCAACCTCTGCAGCCCACAGAAGGTAAGTGATCAGAATCTTCCTTTATCCGTTAATGATTACAGTATCAATAATCTATATAAAGCACCAGACATATTTTTTTAGCCACTTGTACCACATAAAGATAAAAATTTTAGAACTATCACAAATATTTTTAAGTTTATATGACTGATACCAGATCCCTTGGTGGTGTACATGGTTTATGCTCAACTGGGAATCTAAAGGGTGGCGTTTGGAATACAGTGGTACTGCAGAAGAAAGGCCTGGTGATGTGCTTCCATTAATATTACAGCCAAGAAAACCCTGTGGAGCAGTTCCGCCCTGTAACACCTGGGACAGCCATGAATTGGAATTAACTTGATGGCAGCTAACAACAACAACATTACTGATACCACAGTTGGGGGAATTATAGTTGAATTATAATATTTGGGGTCAGTGGGCAAAATAAATGGCTTCTTTAATTCCTTGCAGATTTAAAACTTTGGGTTTTTTTGTTTTTTTTCTTTTTTAAATAGTAAGGATTATTGACCAGCTGCCTCACAAGATTCCCTTTCTAATACTAATTGTGTACTTTTAAAAAAAAAAACACTTATATTTTTTTTCTCCTTTACTTTCCCTCCCTATACTATGTATCCTCCCAGTACCTCCTAGTCTTCTGAGTGCTAGGACTGTCAAACAGTAGGCAGAAATTCATTAATTGGACAGTTTCTTTAGTTATGTTTAGGGTGCTATGGTCACAAAACCAAAATAGTCCTGTTCCTAAGAAAGTAAACTTTGAATGCAGAGTTTGCAGTAGACAATGATGGTCCTAAATGTCTTAATTTATTTTCCTTAGAGCCAACTATGGAGGTAGAAATGACCTCAGCAAAAGAGAGAGCACCCACAGAAGTATTAGAAATAATGCCACCTAGAGAAACAGAGGTGACACTGGCCAAGGACTTGGAGCCAGCCACAGAAACAGAGATGGCACTGGCCAAGGATATGGAACCATTCACTGCATCAGATTCGGCTATAGTCAAGGATGTGGTACTACCCAAAGAAACAGAGGTCACAGCTAAGGATATTGTGTTGCCTACAAAAACAAATGTATCTTTGGACAAGGACATGGTACTGTCCTCAGAAACAGAGGTAACCCTGGACAAGAATATGACACTGTTTAAAGAAACACAGGTGGCACCACCTATTAAAATGGATTTGGCCTCAGCTGAGGGCATGGTGTCACTCTCAGAAATAGAGGTGGCACTGGCTAAAGACAATGTAACATTGACAGAAATAACCCCAACCAAAGAGGTGTCCCTATCCTCAGGAACAGAGGTAACTCTTCCCAGGGATGTGGCTCTGTCCACAGAAATAGAGGTGGCTCCAATCAAGGGTGTGGCTCCATCTCCAAAAGCAGAGGTGGCCCCAGTCAAGGATGTGGCTCCATCTCCAAAAGCAGAGGTGGCCCCAGTCAAGGATTTGGCTCCATCCCCTGAAACAGATGTGGCCTCAGTCAAAGATGTGGCTCCACCTTCAAAAGCAGAGGTGACCCCAGTCAAGCATGTGGCTCCATCCCCTGAAACAGATGTGGCCTCAGTCAAAGATATGGCTTTACCTCCAAAAGCAGAGGTGACCCCAGTCAAGGATATGGCTCCATTCCAAGGAGAGGTAGCCCTAATAAAGGACATGCCTCTGTTTCTAAAAGCAGAGGTGGCTCCTGCCAAGGATGTGGCTCTGCCTCCAAAAGCAGAGGTGGCCCCAGTCAAGAATGTGGCTCCACTCCCAGAAGAGGTAGCCTTGGTAAAGGACATGCCTCTGCCTCCAAAAACAGAGGTGGTCCTGCCTATGACTCTTCCCTCTGGATCAGACGTGACCCAGGCCAATGATGTGACTCTAACCAAGGATGTTACACCACCCTCCAAAGCAAAGGTGGCATCAGCTCCAGTTCAGGGCATGGAAATTCCACGGACACAGGAAGGAATAAGTCAGGATTCTCAGTTAAAATCTTTCCAGGATAAGGGGCTGTCACCTGCACCTACTTCCATGATTTCACCAGGTATGAGCTTATGCTTGCTCTCAGTATTTCTGTCTACCAGAGTGTAGTCTTAAGAAGGATAATGGACAAACATCGTTCCAGGTAAATAAAGGCAATCATATGCTGTAGTTTGGAAGTATATTCACATTCCTACTCTCCTAGATAACTTTCTCACCTATATTATTTACATCCTTTTACACCTCCATATTTCTTCTCTGCTGATCTTAGTTCTCTTACAGATAATTGAAGCAATAGAAGAAAACATCCACAGACTCTGCCTCCCTCTGGTTACTTACAAGTAAATGTCCCTGCTTCTAATTAAGGCGATTTTATACTAAAGCCTATCACCTCTTGCCTACTCAAGTATATTGCCTTAAACTGTTCCCTTTCTGGCCTTTTCAAATCTTTCCCCTTGTTATTGAATCATTCCCACCAACATTACAAGCATCTGTTATTTTTCCCATCTTTGAAACAAAGTAAAAAACCCTCCGAACTCCATCTACTTCACAACTACCACTTGGTTTCTCTGCTGCCCATTTTAACAGATGTCTTCAAAAACTATTCCTGTCTCCTATTTCTGAGAAGTAGTTTCAGAAATAGTTCTTTTCTGAAACTTGTGTGGTTTTTTACTGTTACCTTTAGAACCAGTCACAGCCGTGGGCCAGAAGTACAACTTGCCAACAGATGAGGATTCTGAGTTAGAGAAACTAGAGCAAAAGAAACAATTCAGTAGTCAACTTAATGAGCTTTCTTCAGAGACCTCAGGTAAGTTAGGAACACAAAATGGATTTCAAAACCACTTAAACTGGGAATGGTGGGTGATGGTAGTAGACATTGTCTCTGATTTTTTGGTGATAATAAACTGTGTGATTATGCAGTCAGGTTTTTTTTTTTTTTTTTTTCTCTCTGAGATAAGTCTGCTTGTTTCATGCTTTTTTAAATTACCACTAGATAAATTTAGGACACCTACTTTTTATCCAGTTTAGCTATTTACTATTATGTCGTGAACAGGTATCAGTTTACTCAGCTAATAAGAGGAGGAAATTGGTCAAAATGTGCTCTAAATTCTTGGTAGTTACACTGTGTTCCATGGCCCAACAACGATCTGCATATTCCTGGGCTTGTTAGAAATGCAGAATCTTGGGCTGCACCTCAGACTTTCTGAATCATAAAATACATTTTAACAAGATGTCCTGGATAATTCTTACATATACTAAAGCTTGAGAAGTTCTGCACTAAGATAAGTTCCAACCTAACGTTCTGTTATTCTGTGAACTTTAAAATGACAAGTTTTTGATGGTAAGCCACAAGCATGTTCATATGATTATCAGCTTTACGATTCTTTATTTACTTTTTTTCTGTCTCTGAACTCTTTGAGGGCAGGGGCCATGATTTACTTCACTTAGAGTCCCTAGTGCTTTGCAAGGAGCTCTGGTAGCATAGTGGCTAAAGCACTTGACTGTTAACCGAAGGCTGGCAGTTCAAACCCACCAGCCACTCCTCCGAAGGAAGGTTGGGCAATCCTACTTCTGTAGTGATACTGCCTCGGAAACCCAAGGAGGGGTCGCTATGAGTCGGGGCGGACTCGATGGCACATAACAACAACAACAGCAGTGCTTTGCACACTATCTAACACCTAATGGGAGCTAACCCTCAACATATCAGTAAAAACTTATCAAGTGTTTCTTGTGTGCAAAATGCACCATCCTGAGGCACATAGATATTTAAGTCCTGGCCCTTTCCTTGGGTTATTATAGTCTGCATGAAGCGAGAAGCTCTCAGGCATGAACTCTGAAACCAAGGATTTACATAATAATTGAATAAAATAATGTAAGAGATGGCACCAAATTGCTGCTGGTTAATTGCCAAGTCAGTGTCACAAATGCTATGGGGTACTGAGGCCCAGCACAATTTTAAGAGAAACACTAATTGACCTGAGATCAAGGTTGAGAGCCTTGGAGGGGTAAGGACCAGAAAAGTTACTATTTAAATATGTTAATGTTCTTTGAAATCAGTTCACTTGGTCAGACTTGACAAGAGCTGGTATCGGACCTGCTTTTCAATGGAACTATTTTCAGGATCTTGTATTCACGCCCATTGACTTGCCTAGGGGGCTGAAGTTGGGATCAGATTACTTTCTCAAATCTTTTCCTGGGGTTCTCATCCTAACTGATTTAATTCATTACCTAGTTTATGTCACCTTAACTATATCCCTTTTTTGGAAAGTGCCTTTAGGAACAGAACTTTGAAATGTAAAACATTTGTCTTTCAAAGTAGAATGCTCTAGTAATAGAATAATAGAATGATGAAGTTTTTCTTTGGCCAAAATTCTAATTTTTCTTTGGCCAAAATTCTAATTTAGTATTTGTGTATATGTGTAGTAGTAGGAGGAGGAGGAGGAGATTAAATCTGTCCTTCTTCTGATCTGCTTCCCAGAATTGATCTGGTTAGTTGACAAGTATCTAATAGAATGTTGGTGACAGACTCTCAAAATGGTAAATCCTGTCCAAAATGATATTTTATTCACTCAATTAATAAATATCACCAGAAAGAGACAAGACATGTTTCTATGTCTTAATCACTGAGGTCTATTGGCATATAAAGACTTGCAAGATAACTTCTAGAGTCTTACTATCTTGTTGAAGAATTGGGATTTATGTACCTACTAAAAATAATGGCAAACGTAAGTATCAGATAAGATTTATAGGCAGTAAGTGTTTACATAGAGATGAGAAGACTTCACTTTGAATTTCATTCTTCATGTTTCAAACATTTTTTAAACATGTTTGAAAAAATCTTTATCTGAAATGATGATCTCTATTAATATTTGCTGATCCCAGTTAAGGGTAAGAACTGTTTAGTTAGGAGAATTTGTTTAGTTCTTTTCCTAAACAAATTAGTATATGGGGTGGTGAAAATAGACTGTAAATGAGTCACTAAATTGCCTTTAAAAAAAGAAAGAAACAATAACAAGGAGTTTTTGTTTGGAATTCTAGCCAACTTCATATATTGCAGGTATCCCTACCACACAAGCCAAACAAGTTTGCAGACCCAGTGACCGCAGGTCAGCCCGTCCCAGGCCTGCCAGGGTCCCTCCTGAGCTGCTGGGAGGCTCTTCTCCACGGAAGACTCTTGATCCCAGACTGGGCTCTTTGTCTGAGTTGGGTTGGGTCTCTGGTTCATCTTCCTGTGGCGAGCCTGGGAACCAGAGAAAAGCTATTCATGTTGACTTCCTTGAACCACAGAGGGATGTTGGCAGGGAGGCCTGGGATGTAGAAAGCACACCAATGATGATGAAGAAAAAAAAGAAGAAACCAAAGCAAAAGAGATATTCTCAACCTCGGGCAGGGGGACTTTGGGATGATGACAATCCAGATGAGCCTAAAAGTCATTATTTTGCACCTGACTCACAAAAATCAGGTGTTCTCTCCAACCATTCTGCCACCATGGGCACAGAATATGGACCTATATCCAGAGAAAACTTGACAAAGGAGCATGTAGTTGGCTCCAGAGCAGCTAAACTGGTAGCTGAGAACTATGTGTCAGAGAGTCTCAGAGTTCCTTTTTCTCCGGAAGAACCCACGAAAACTGAAGTAAACTCTCAGCCTCGGCTGAGAGTAGATTCAGAGGTCAAACGTCCAGTACCACTGAACCAAGACAAGAAATTGCTGCAGCAAGATGAATGCAAACCCCAGCTGAAGACTCCTGTACATAAAAGCCAGGGAATAGACTCTCTCAATCTAAAAGAACCCCTTTCAGAAACTTCTGTGTGCCATATAGAAGTTCCTTTGGAGATCAGACCCAAAGAGGGTTACTCTCCTGTTGTGAACGAAGAGGTTAAGGGTAGTGTTTCAAGACCCACAACAGCAAAAGAACTGCCTAATTTGATACCTACTTTGACAGCAAGTAATCCATTAGAAAGTATTCTAAAAGAAGGGGATGATGAAAGTAAAACGACTAACCTGCAGGATATTAAACAGAAAGAGTTTTCTGAAGGAGTTGAAGAGGTTAAAGAACTCAAAAAGGAAGCTTTTCCCAAGGAAAAACAAGCGATCAGCAACTTTGTTTCTGAGCAGCTGCAGGGGAAGGTGTTACATCAGGTCCCTGAGCTAGGGAATGAACCATTTAAGAGGATGGCAGTTGATGGCAAAAGCAGGAAGGGAAGGGGAAGTTCTGGAAAGGTGAGAACAAATTCTGGGAAAGTGAGAGCAAGATCTGAACTATCATTTCCTCTAGACAGCCAGAAGGACAGCACGGCTGACCTTGTGCTGAGTGAACCAGCCCTCAAAACAGAAGGAGTAACTGCTGGGAATAAGGATAAGGAGCAGGGGCTGGATTCTGCAAAACAACCAGAGATCATGGCTGATCTCACTGAGGCAGCAGTGATGATGGAACCTAAGGAGAAGATTGACCCTAAGGTGCCATTGATTGAGTCAGGCATGACTCAGACTTATGGGGGTAGTCCAGAAGGAGGAAGTGTGGCCATAGATATGGGTGTCAATAACAAGAGAAAGGAAGGAAAATGTCCTTGGGTGGATTTTGAGGCAGCTCCCAGGATTTCTGAAAAGCCTAAAAAGAGAGGCAATGAAGGCAAAAACAAAAAGTTGAAAAATGGTTATTCCACACAGCGTGCTAGAATGGAGAGCAAGACAGAAGTCGATATTCCACCTTTTGTAAGTAAAGATGGAGATGCTGATAGGAGTCCCCATAAAAACAAGGAGTTTCCCCAAATGCATGATCCTTTGTTCTCAGATACAGCAGATATACCCACAGTGGCATTAGTTGACACAAAGGGTAGAAATGTTGAGGCTCCTTCTTTTGAGCTTGGGGCTTTGTGTGAGAACAAAATAAGCACAGCCAAGGGTTGTTCTGTTACTGAACCAGCAGCCATGGTGACAGATGTGAGCTGCCAAGACCAAATACGGGGGGTAGAATTTGTTCCTTTACTGCTGGCTGAGGAGAGTAAGACAGATGCAGCTAAAGGGCGCACTGCAGTGGCTGACAAACCAAATAAAGGGAGTAATGATGAAAAAAGTAAAAAGGTTAAAAATAATTTTGCCGAGAAGCACATTCTGGAGAATGAGATAGATGCAGCAAAAATGCATGTTCCCATGGAAACCACAGGGAATCACAGAATTGAAGGACTGGGCTATGTGGATGAAAATAGAAATATTACATATACCTGTCCCAGAACACCACCAGGGTCAATGAATAAGTTAATCCCTCTAGAGGCTGTGGAATCAGCAGTCTATGAAAAACCTCCCACTCGTGCTCCTCAGGTAGTAAAGGAAGGTGATTCCTTTCCAGATGCCTTGGCAGAAAGTGGACAAGCAGCAGCCCCAGCCCAGGTTTGCAAACTAGTAGCAGTAGATAACTGCAGCAAAGATGGAGTCTCAGGTCAAGAAAGACCCAAGGCTTCCTCTGCTAGGCCTTCTACAAACATAGGAGTTGCCCTAATTTTCCCAGCAGCCATACAAACAGTTAACAGCCATGGAGATCCCTACTGTAAGAATAAAAGTGAGCTTGCTGATCCTAAGAAAACTGAAGCAGGGATAGATGGAGGGCATGTAGTAGGAAAATCTGAGTCAGTGCACAGTGGTGCATTTGAACATTCGTTAGAGAAAAGCACAGAGCCAGCAACAGGCCATATTCTTCCTAGAGCACAAGAAGAAGACCGAAGCCTACCAGGAGAAGTCAGGGACCTAGAATCAGCTACAGATAGGGGTAATTTTCCAACATATCCAGTGAAAAAAGAAAAAGAAACT